TCCTGAGACAAATTTTGGAGTGCCCCCTCCTGCCAGAACATTGTATTTTTCAGTGTTTTGTGACTAAGCAGTTATGTAAACATGTACTTCAATGATAATTACTCAGTTCTTTACTACACATTTCAAAATTAATCTGTATTGCCTAAGCCTTTAATGCAAATATGTTAAATAATGAAACAGCAGAATTGGCTATGGTTTTCAAATGTTTATTTTTGTCAAAACCTCTTACATATCACTCAAACATGTGATTAAAAATTGAAGAATTGCAGCTTTTAAATCTTTCTTGCTCATCTATGGTATTTCTCTATATTAAAAGAGACAATGGTGCCCTTTGAATCTAATGGTTTTATTGGCAGTGTCACCACCATCCAGTTATACATGAATAATAAGGTCAACGCATGAATAAAATTTCTCCTCTGATGTACATTCAAAAATTACAAGTGTAGTTCTTTGGTAAGATGCTGTGACCATTATTTGTGATGCAAATCACAAAAAGAAATGAGAAAGTATTGAAAAACAGGCAGCTACTGTACAACATTCTGTGCTCGAACATTTTGATAGAAATATTTGTCAATATAAATTTGAAAATTTTGAAAATATAAATGTTGATCTTGATAGACGTTATTCTACTATTGATTATAAGGAGCTTTATACAAGTGAAGAACTAGCATTTTTCTTAAAAATGTGCCTTAGAAAATGTTAAACTCATCATTATTAATTTTTATTTTATTTTTTTTGAGGAAGATTAGCCCTGAGCTAACTGCAGTCAATCCTCCTCTTCTTGCTGAGGAACACTGGCCCTGAGCTAACATCCGTGCCCATCTTCCTCTACTTTCTATGTGGGATGCCTACCACAGCATGGCATGCCAAGCTGTGCCATGTCTGCACCTGGGATCTGAACCAGCGAGCCCCGGACTGCCGAAGCGGAACATGCACACTTAACCACTGCCCCACCGGGCCAGCCCTATTATTATTTTTTATTATGAGTTTTACTTCTTAGATAAGCAGAAAACAGAGCCAGGTGTCATGTTATGGCTGTTTTATGTATGTTTATGTTCTTCCAAAAATTATAATTTAAATTATAATTTATAAATGTCTAACTTCAAGGATCATAAGATGTTAGATAAGTCAATTTCTTTTCATATACTTTTGGCTAAAGGAAACCTAATTTTACACATATATGTCATTTTTGGACTATTCCAAGGAGATCTACAAGTAACACATTTTTAAAATGGAAGCAATACATGTGCATGGAAAATCATACATGAAAACAAAAAACATGCTTTTTTCCTTCCACAGACCCCTGGTCCTGCTCTTCAGAAGTAAGGAATTTTTATCATTTTCTCTTTTTACTGTGAAGTATTCCCTTGAATACTAAATAATACTATGTAATCATCTAATTTGTTTTATCAATTTTAAATAAAATCTATTGACTTCTTATGAATATAGTTCATTTATCTCACTTTTTTCTCCTAGAAGTACTTTAACCTATAATTTTAAGGTTTTTTAATTTCTTTCTTTCTCTAAATATATACTTATTGTGCTTAATATTATGCTGAAATAATATATAGTCTGTCCATTTTGAGCAACATTGATTGGCTCAGTAGAATGTGGATATTAGTGACCACCTTCCCTCCCATGCAACTTTCCCCATCATGCCTTTCAACTTTTATGAAAGATGTTTATATGAAAAGTCTTAAGTAATTTACGCTCCCTTTTGTAATTATAGAAAAGTCTTCCATGCTTTGTCCATAGGTTGATTTTGATCATGGAATCTCAAATGAATTGACAGCATCATGGTTATGTGTTTTTTTAAACTACAGGTGCAGATGGTATGATTTGATTTGTAGGAAGGCACCGAAATCATATGTGCATATACCACAGCCTCCAAAAAAAAAAAAAAGCCAGGTTCCAATAGTCAAGAAGATAAGTTAGTTATCTTCTTTCCCTCCATTAATTGTTTGAAATGATGTTATTTTTAAATTATATGCCATAAAATTTAAAATATATTTCTGAAAAGGCATGCAACCTATAATAGATGTCATCTTAAATTCATAAAAATATGGTAGTTTTCCTCAAATTTTGTACATTTATGGTACATTATTTCTTTTTTCCACAAGTTTCACTTACCTTTATTTTGAATGATCAAAAAGAAACGTAACATCTTTTCACCATCACCAACATAACTTAAGTCTTATTATTCTCTTTGATAAATGATTAATTTTGGAGAGACAGTTCGCTAGCACTCTGCCAACTGTCAGCATTAATTCCTGGATGTTCATTTCAAGTTCGTCCAATGGTACTTGGATCTAATGACTGCCCCTTTCATCAAGTTTCTTTTTCATTTTTTTTCCCTGAATGAGTGCATGATAGTTAATTTTTCTGTACACTTGAATGTCTCAAAATTTTGATTCCTCTCATATTGCATTAAAATTTTAGTTAAGTTTATAGCTGCAAAGTGATTTACACTGTTCTTTTTTTTGGTAATATCCTGTCGAAATGATGAAAAGTCAGATCATTCATTAAAGAAAAATTGATTTCGACTGACATCAGACTTTTCAACAGCACTGGTGGAGACAAGAATACAATGAGGCAATATGTTTAAAGAATTGAAAGGAAATAAATTTTAAGCCTTGAATTATATGCAGCCAAGGTCTTTCAAATATGAGGGCACAGAAAAAGCTGTTATTAGAAAATAAGGCCTCAAAAGTTTTATGTAAATCAGTTAGAAAATATTCCTAGAGGAAATACTCCAGTAGGAAGAAAAATAAATCTGGGAACATGCTATTAGTTTGTAGAAACTAGGGTTGATGTTAGTGATGGTTATTATATCCTAAAAAATCCATGATAATGCAATATATTCTAAATAACCAAGAAGTAAAGCTCCAGAAAATACTTCCTGAAATAAAGGCTGTCATGATGGAAAAAAGCCAAATCAGAGCAGGTGAGACTATTTGCTTGGCTTGCTGAGATGATTTTAATATTGGCACATGTTAAGAAACTAAGAAAGAAATTAATATAATTAATGATATAAAATCATTACAGTACTAAAAATTTCCAAATTTCAAACAAACAGAAGAACATTTGATCCAGAAAGTGGAAGAGGCAAAAGGATGGGAAAAAAGAAATAATAAAGTATAGGAAACAAAGCATAAAATACGATGACAGAAATAGATGAGATCGGGTGCATTCAGGGTTGTATGGCCATAGAGTAGATGACAGAAATAAATCAATAGAACAATAATTAAATCAAAGTAAAGATTGTCAGATAAAATTTTTAATGTCAAAAAAGAAAACCCATCAAACAAAACATATTGAAAATAAAGTGATGGAGAAAATAGAGAGGGTAAATACAAATACAAAGATCTAAGCCCAAATTTTGATAAAAGTTGAATTTGAGGTGAGAATATCATAAAGGAGGAGAGGGCTGTGGTCCTTAGAAGCAATAGTAGATGCAGAAGATGTGCTTGTGAACATGCACCTTCATGACAAATATAGGCAAACTCAAATGCCCTCATTCCTACTAAGTTGTGTTAAAAACATTGTGACCAACAATCAGAGGATACACAATATTTTTAAGCCCAGATGGAGCATTAAGACAAATTTACCATGTGAATCCCTCAGTGAAACCTGAGTTACTGCCAGTGAGGGGATGCAGAATGGTTTCAAAAGAGAATTTTGTATAGGACTCAAAGCTCCTTTTCTATATAGTTCAGGCTGGAATTGAGGCTCCAGGAGTCTGGAGGGGATGGGAGGGGGAGGTGAGGCACATTCAGAAAAAGGGAATATGTACAGAATACGCTGGGGAATCTGAATAGGCTGTTCAAGACCTGACTCGGTCCCAAGGCTTTGACTCCTAGTCTCCCCCTCCAACCTGCAGACTTTAAGGGTCAATACCTTAGCTCCCTCTAACTCACTCCTGGCTGCTGAGTATAGCACATGTGCACAGGTCTGAAGGTTTGTGTGCTCCCAAAATTCAGATGTTGAAATCCTAACTCTTAAAGATGATAGGAGGTGGGGCCACTGGGAGGTGCTTATGAGCCCTCATGAATGAGATTAGTGCCTAATAATAAGCCTCCAGAGAGATCCCTAGCCCCCTTCCACCGTGTGAGGACACAGCATGAAGACTCTGGAAGAGGGCCTTCACTAGAAGGTGATTCATGCTGGCACCTTGACTTTGGACTCCCAGCCTCCAGGACTGTGAGAAATAAATTTCTGTTGTTTTTAATCTACCCAGGCTATGGTATTTTGTTACAGCGTCCTAATGGACTAAGAAAATACGTTTTAAAATTTATGTGGAGAGTGGGTGTTGTTTTTATTTTGGCAAAATAAGAAGAAATTGGGTGAAGACAACATGTGAAAAAATTTTTTTAAGTACAAAATTATGGATTCTTGGATTTGAAAATACTGGATTGGCTTGTGAAAGGATGAGCTTGTGTCTATGTGTATGTATGTGTGTGTGTCTGTCTGTACAACATGTCCCAGAAGTCTTAGTGCAGTTTAAAGCTTTACTAACTCCAGAATTATAAATGCCTCAAACTTATAAAAATGTCACTGGAAGGTTTAATATTTATAATTCTTTCAAATTTAGATTTATGAATAAAAATTATTTTTATTTTTTTGTGTGTAGGTCCTTCTGATAGAAAATGAGACAAAACAAACACTATTCAAAATTCACAAAACTCAATGAATGTAAAAGAAATTTAAGTACTGTGCTTGGGTTTATACAAGACAAAAACCTTATGTGGGAAGCTGGAGTTGAGGACAGAAAGAAGTAAAAAGATGAGAGTAAAAATCTCTGGGAAATAGCTAAAATTCCAGGTTCAACTTCAGATTTTTAAGAGTAATGAAATTGATGAGCCTTAGGTCAAGATCTCTAAGGAACAAAGGGAGCCAGGTGAAACCCATAAAGAGTTAGCCATTGATGATTAAGAAGCGAGGAACTAAAATTTTTGTCCTTTTTGCAATTACTGGTTATAGGTTGTAGCTGTTTAACTCACCCATTGTTAACTGTGCTGTTTAGGTAATATGCTGTCTGACTCCCACTAGGCTCCTATGGATAACATCTCCCTGAAGCCTGGGTCACCATGGTAATGGGTGTTTGAGTTGCTCTCCGGAATTAGAACCCCTTTGTCCACTCCAGGCCAGTTGAGACCACCAACTCATCAACTGGGCCTATGCAGATGTCTGATAGGTGACCTTGTGATGTAAAGAGGATAAACTCCACCTTCAGATTGTTCTAATGCCATTTTGTGAACATGGGTCCTATGAAGAGGCACAAAGTCTGACTACACTTGTGCAGATCATCAATTACCTCACCACTCCTCACCTCCAATCACCTATCTCCACATTTCAGACCACCTTGCCCCCTATCCCATAAATATCCCTGAGTCTCCATTTTCGGGGACACAGATTTGAGACTCGTGCTCTTGCTTCCTCACATGGCTGCCTTGTGATTAAACTCTCTTTCTGCTGCAATCTCATCATCTCAGTGTTTGGCTTTCCACGTGGTGGGCAAAAATGAACCTGGCGTGGTAACACAGGTAATATCTGGGTCCCAGATGGAATGAGTAGAAAATTGTCTAAGGACCCTGACAGGATGAGAGTAACATTGGAAGGAGGCTCTCTAGAAGGCTAGGAGCGTGGAGTGATCTACAGGGCAGGATGGTGGGGGAGGCGTGGTGGTTCAGCCTCCTCCCCTTACTCCCCCACCCTCAGAACCCTTTGTGACAGGCCACAGCTCTGTGATGCAAGCCTGGGGCTCTGTCCCCTAGCAAACTCCCAGTGCTCAGTTGCCTGAGGGCTGGGGAGGAGGCAATAAGAGAAGGAGGCTGAACCACCACCCCTCCCCCACCGGCCAGTCCAGTAGATTGAGTAGAGTGATTCAGAAGATGGAGGAGAATGTCTTTTCTCTGAGAAGCATTAGTGCTACCTGGCTGAGCACCACACCCACTCCCTGGGTGATTGAGATCTTCCTCAGCTTTCTGTGTGGACTGGGACTCTTTTTCTTGTTACTCCCCTGCTTCTCGAGTAATCTGTCCTCACCACCACCCAGGAAGCACAGAAACATCAGGAAGGTAAGGAACTTTTGACTCAATTCGAACAGAGATTATGTCTTTTTCTCTTATTCTTATCTCCGCTTTTCTAAATCAACTAGAGAGACTCCAGAGATATGAACTCTGGGAAGGATAGGTCAACCTTCTAGGACAAGCCAGGCCAGGCAAGGGGTAGAATAGGCATGAGGATTTCTATCCCAAGATCTCAGACCAGGGGTCCAGGTGTGGTAGCAGACTCCACGGCAAAGCCCCAAATACAGTGATCAGTGGCCAAGGACTGGATACTAAGAGTTCCGTCTCTGCAGGAGGGCAGGCCCTGAGCACTGGTTCACAAGCTGCCTTCCTGGGGCAGGTGTCTCTGTTGGGCTGATCTGAGGGCAGTGCTGAGCCTCTGAGAGATTCTGAGCAGTGGCTGGAGCAGGGTCTGGTCTCTGGAAGCAGAGACCAGCTGAAGAACCTCAGATGGGCCTGTAGGTCTGAGAATGTATGTTTCTTGAGTGGAAGAACAGGGATGGAAGAAATCCATGGTGGGTCTCACACAGAAAATCCTCCTTTGCGTTCTTCAAAGAAGAGAAACCACAAATACTTTTATCCACTTTAAAAATAAGTAAAAGAGGAGAAATGACAGAGCTCCATTAGTTAAATGTAGAAAGTCATATTGTTCATGAGCACTGAGTGTCTGCAGCTTGTCTAGAGAGAGGAGACGGAGAACTGCACCCCAGCCCCTCCTTTTATCATTTTTTCCCTTCTCAGCGTCATACAGAGCTGAGGGGAAGGAGCAGCAGGACTAGGAAGAAAAGTGGAGCTTTGAGAGGTAAGCATCTGCCATTCAGCCCTGCACCTGAGAGCTAGCTCCTGTCTCTCCTGCCTCTGAGGGCCAAGCTCCTTGTCTCTAGTCTCCGAGGATGCCAGTGGCAGAGTTTGTCCCTCAGGAAACAGAGTGCTCAGGTGAAGCTGTGGGGTCTCCAAAGGGGTGCTGCCCTGCAAGGGCGTGTGGGCTGTAGTGGGCCAGAAGTGCCTAGATTGGGAGGTGGGACCTCCAGGTCCAACTGTGTATGAGTTAACTTGGCTCAGATTCCTCTGTAAGGTGACGCTGTCTTTTCTCCCCTACAAGGTGGTGGTGAGTGACATAGTGGTGATAGATGTGGAAGTACTTTGTAAATGACAAAGTGCTACCCATCATGAGCTTTGACATCATGTGACCTTGGACACTGATCTTGGGCTCCAGAGTTTAATCCCTCAAAGGTCTCCCCTAAAGGGACACTGCATTTAGCCTCCTGACCCCTAGGCCCCCGCTTCACCACCGAGACCCAGTCTCCTGATTTCTAGCTTGTAGAGACTGCCTGAAAGAACTGGAGGAGGCTCGGGACCTGGCTTCACTTCTGCATAGGTAAAGAATCTTTCCCTTCTCTCCTGGTCCTCCTTCTTCCCAGAGCCTATGATGTGACCTCAGGGCTGCAGGCAGCCTGGGAGGGGGAGCCATGGGGACAGGATGAGTCTAAAGCCCTGGGGTGAGGAACAGCAGGAGCACTGTGAAGTCAGCACAGGGGCAGTGGAGGGACCCTGGGCTGCAGGTGCCTACACCTGCCTGGCCCTCCTGATCTTGTCTGCTCCTGACTGCAGCTTGTGCCTCCTGTCTTCTGCAGCCACCTGGGGAAGCTCCCTGACAAGGGTGGCTTTCATCAGCTCTCATGTGAAGAACCCCCTGGCAAGGTGTGTAAAACAGCGCCTGCTGGAGTCAAGTGGCCATGCCAGGAGCGTGTAGAAGAGGTTGCTCCCACCGTGTCCCTCTTGGCTTCCCCGGCTCCTCTGAGCAAGCACACTCTACCTCTGGCCTCCACCCTTAGGCTGGACCCAGTGACCTCATCAGTTTCTGTTTGTTCCCACTCATCCTTGAGTGCCTCTTGGCTACCAGAGCCTTTCCTTCCCCTGGACAGCCTTTCACCCTGGCCACTCACTCTTTCCCCTCCCCTGCCATGCCCCCCTGATTCAGAGGCCTGCCCTCCACCTCCGACAGCTTCCTCTGCCCCCCGACCACCAGACTCCATTCTGACTCTTGCTCAGTGTGACTCAAGGGAACTCCCACTGGGCACCGTCCCACAGAGCTCGTCTTTGTCAGCCTCTCCTGTCCCAGCCATCTCAGACCTTGGCTGCTCAAGGTGTCCCATTTCAGCCCTGTCCTGGTGGCAGGGGGCTGCCAAAGCCTTGTGCTTCATGTCCTCATCACAGTGCAATTTCCAGCAAGAGCACCTTTCTCACCACCCACCAGGAGCCTTATTCTGGGAAGATCCCACAAACAGACAGGTAGAAGCTAGTAATCCCTCTTTGCTCAGCTGTGATGACCAGAAGCCCCTGGAGATACAAGTCACAAAGAGAGTTGAGAACAAGATTTGGAAGGAAAAAGAAACAAATGGATCATATACCAAACAAATGAGCCCAGAATACCACATGAATTATTTGGGAAATATGTTGAAATCACTGGGTGCTGAGCAGGACACCACAACCCCCCAACCCTTCTGGAGCACAAAAGGCAAACCAGAGCAGCTGCCTGGGCCTCAGCAGCTCTCATATCCCAACGTCTTGGGGAACCATCTATGGAAGAAATATAACCAGCTTTTCTGGGGTCTCCCCTCTCTGCACAGTGAATCCCTGGTGGCTACTGCCTGGATCTCAGAGAGCTCTTCAGTACTAAGATCTCCCTCTTTCTTATTCAATGGAATCTCGAATGCCTGCCCAGTTCAAATGCACGCTAAAATATCTCCAGTGCTTTCCCAGTCCCAGCCTCTGTCCCATCTGGAGGTCCAATCTCAACCCTTGATTCCAAGTGTACCTCAATACCAGCCTCCTCCTCTGGCTCAGGTCCAGACCCATGCCCATCTCCAATCCTCTCCCCCAATCCTACCACTTTCTTCTCCACCCCAGATTAGGGCCTGTGGAATATCTTGCCCTGCACCCCAGAATAAGCCACAGTCTATCATCCCAGCTGAGATTCAACATCCAGAATGGTCTATGTTGCAGAAGCACCTAGAAAGTGGGGGGGCTTTAGACTCTGTAGTCAAAAGATCTCAAGAAGTTTCTGGTGTCTTCACTTCCAGTCTTCCTCAGGACTGCTGGGTGGTCTCCATCCTTCCGGAGAATTTTCCAATCAGTCCTGAGCTCCAGGAACAATTGGAGCAACACCTCAAAAAGTGGCTCATGCAACATCAGTGGGAGCTGCCCTGCAGTCTCCAAGAGTCTCTGGAACTGAGGCAGTTTCGGGACAAATTACCAGGTTCATGTCAGGCAAAGGGCAGGCATGGACCCTCACAGCCCTCTTCATTTACAGGTGAAAGCAGCAAGGATGCACAGAAGGTGGGGTTCCAGCTAAACCAAGACCTGGGCAAGGGCCTGGGGCATATCCTGGGGAAGGTCCCAAAAGATCTCTCCAGAGGTTCAGAAAGCTCCCTAGTGAAGTTTTGGGAGGTGAACTCTGAGGAGTCAGAAAGAGGTTTGAAGCTCTCAAGGAGTAACTCAGGAAGAGATTTACTAAGGAACTTAGATAAGAATCTAGAAAGCTTACTGAAAGCCCATTTGAGCAGGAAATTGGGGCAAATCAGTGAGGGTTTGATCCCTGTGAGTGTGCGTCGATCCTGGCTTGCTGTCAATGCTTCTCCCAAGTCTGACACTCAAATGGAAACCAGAAGTCCAAGAATCTTGAAGGGTTTGGGACCCAGCATGAACACTTCCCCCAGGATTTCCTTCCTCCTTGCAGACACTCGAGAGGTGCTGGAAGCACATATTACAAGGTTTTGGGTGAGGCACAGGTGGGGCCTGCCCCTAAGGGTCCTCAAGTCCGTAAATGTATTGAAGTTAAAAAAGGCTCAACTCTCACCCGTTCCACAGTCTGCCTTTCCTTCCTCAGCCACCTGTGTCTCTGGGGCCCACTCAATGATCAAGTTTGCTGAGTTCTGGGGAAAACCTCCCCAGGTCCATGCCGGAGAGAAGATGGTAACAGAAGAGTCAGTTTCCACCCTGTTGAGGCCTCTCCTTGCCCCCTCACTTGTGTGTGAGGAAGTCCAGAGGGCCCCAAGAGGGACCCCATCTGGTGACAACTGTGGTCCCTTGAAGACCTCTCTGACTGGACAGCAGGGCAGCCCACCTCCTCAGTCCCTCACACTCAGCCTTGTGGGGAGAACTTGGCAGAGAGGGACTGTCGTGGAGGCTGAGAGGGGCAGCCTAGAGCCAAGTCCAAGTTTAGCAATGGCCAGGAATGAGCCAAGGGAAGAGAGTGGGGGTTGGGCCTCACAAGACCCCTGCAGTAGGGTAACAATGCTAGAGATGAACTTAGGATCCCAATCTTTGAGGGCCAAAGACACCAGTGAGGCAGCAGAGGCCAAAGAGTCCCCTGACCTTCAACCACAGTCTAGAGTCATCTTGGGAACCAATGTGCTGACAAAATCTCAAACCATAAATGTGCATATGAGGAATTTAGAGGCTCCAGGCACCAGTAAAAGTGTCTTACTCCCTAGAATGTCTGTTTTCCAAGATTCAGGAAAGCCATGCCTTAATACAATTGTTGTCAGTGAGCTTAAGTCCAAATTGAAGGTGCAGTCAGAGAATCAGTCTCAAGACTGTCCCACACACATGCTCCCTGCTGCAGACAGCTTGGCTTCTCAGGTGCCCCAGTGCAATCACCAGAAAGTGCCCACTGGAGACAGGCCACCTTCCCAGAAGCTATGTGGCCTCATGGCAGCCCAAAGGAGCAGCCGAGGGCAGCAGGACCCCAAGATCTCAAAACTTCAAGACTCCTGGAAGAGCCAGAGCAAGATGATTGCCCCTACTTACAAGAGAGAGGGCTGTAGGAGGCCCAACATACGAGAGCACGAAGAAAAGTTTGAATTGTGGAACTCCCAAGCCACAAATGTGAGCCACCCTATGCAAGTCAGGGGAATGGTAAACCCTATTGGGAGCAAACGCCTCCAGTTGAAGCAGGAGAAGAAGCAGGGTCCTCTAGAAAGCCCCTTCAGAAAAAGGATGAGGCTCTTTTTTCAGTGGATTTTCCCCCCTACAAAAGCTAAAGGTCAGGCTGTTCTGCAAAAATGCAAACCCATATCAGCCATTGCCCAGAACCAAGGCTCAGTCAAAAGCAGATCGATTATGGATAGTGAGACTGCTGAGGCTCAGGCACTCATGACAGCTGTTGGACAGATTCTAGAGGAGAAAATGGTGACTCACCATGGACTTCTTGCCACGAAGTTAACTGAGCATAAACGGGAACCCCAAGCCCCTGTATGTGGGTGTTCTTGTTGCCACAGGCTTCCCCTCTATGCAGAGCAAGGGAGAATGATGAGTTATATAGCCTGCAATCGCCAAGCAACCTCCAAGGGCCAGAGTTGTTCTGTCAGGGAAAAGCAAGTCAGACACAGACAGTCCTTAAAAAGTGTTAGATTCAACGAAGAGCAGCTGAACCTGAGGTGCCTCCCATCCTTGCCCCCCAAGAAGACTTTTTCTCCAGTCAGTCCCTGCAAGCATGGGCCAAGGATGCCAGGTGCCCCAGGCTGCCACCAGCACTGCCCAAGACACTGTCTTCTTCGGGTAGGTGTCTTTCCTGGGCAACCGTCAAATGCTTCTCTAGCCTTTGCTGGTAGGAGAACATGTCTCCAAGAAAAACTTGAATCCATGTAGAGAAAATGTTTTTCTCTTAGCACACCCAAGATATTTAATATTCCCGAATATATACATTTTTTTCTTGTAACAGGGTAGTACAGTGTCTTCTGTCTGTGCTGTGCCCAGTATGCACTTTAGCTTCTGGAAGGGAGGGGCATGGAGGGAGGTTGACAGTGGCATTGCAAACTCATTCGTTATCCCAAGTCTCTTAATTGCACCTTATGTTTTCATAATACTGTCATTACACAAACAACAAAAACTCCTCTTAAAAACAAGATGAGAAAATCCTGCAAAGACCCCACTCCAGGATCTGGTTCAACACTCCTTTCTTCTGCCTCCACTGTATTTTGAACCGTATGCAGCTGTAGGGTATAGGTTTACAGAGGCAATAGGGCTAGACTTTTCCACGCAAGCTCCAGGAAGTGTCAGCTGAGTGGATGGAAGTTTGGGGGTGGGAGGTGTTCTGGGCTCTGAGTTAAGAAGCAGGAGAAATCTTGCTCCTTGATCTCTTGAAGGGGAATAGATGACACCTGCCCCTAAGAGTCACTGCTCTCCTTGATAAAGGCAGGGATTGAGATGGGCCTTGTGAACCCCTCTTAGCTTAGCCTTAATGAAATGTACAGTGCCACCCTTCCCTCCACCAGCTTTCCCACACTTTAGAGCAGCACCGAGGATGGCACTTCTAGCTCTGTGTGTGTGGGTGTGTGTGTGCATCAGGGAGGCTGATGAAGGCTGTGTTTACTCTTTCCCCAAATGAATGAATGGCCATGTTCAGGGGTCACCTACCTTCCCTCTATGTTAACCCCAGAGAAGGAGTTCTGAATGAATGGAACAGTAACTATCTGACGATCAGACACCGTAAACCTAGGGCAGGATGTGGGTGAAGAAGAATTGAAAAAGATGGATCCAAGAAAGGAGGCAAAGTGTCATGGGGTGCCCATAAGGGTTCAGTGAATGAGGAGCCCCCTGACGATGTACAGCTATCTACAGGCCTAGAGGGGAGGAAAAGTTAAGAGCCCAGTGGCCCCACCCCAGGGTCTCCACTGTGCTCCAGCTCTGAGATCACAGACCTTGAGAAGCCACCTTTAGGTCCAAAACAGAAGGCCAAACTTGAAGAAGTAAAGCAAATCAGAAAAGTTTAATTTCTTAACAATATATTTAACAGGCTTGCTCACCATCACCTGCTGAACTCTAGAAAGGATGACAACAACAGGCGGGAAAGCCAGGACCAGGGAACTCGGGATGTGGCTCCCAGTCTAGTGACCTTTGCAAAACACGTGGCCCAAGGACTGCTCCCAGGGGAGAGGTAGGAACTTAAAAGGTTGAGAGACTGGCCTGCCGCCATGTAGGAAGTCTTGCCTGGCTCCCAGTCCTTGCTTACTCCACAGCCCGGCAGGAGAAGAGGCAATCAGACAGGATTCATCACAGGGTGGGACAGAAGTGACCTGTCCAAAATGAGGGAGCGCAGTCCAGGAGCGGCCACCTGCTTTTTCTGCTCCTAGCCTAGCTTCCCACCTCCCCGGCCGCTGTTCACATGTGAAAGCAGGGAGATGAGCGATTTCTCCAGAGGGATTCTGTGCTTGTGCCACACTGAGGGAGCACAGTGGGCACAGCTCCAGGGAACGTCATTCCTGTGGTGGAGAGTCCTGCCCCTGATCCAGATGACAATAGGAATGGGCCTTGTCCCTCATGGCCATCAGGACCCCCAACATGTGGTACTGGGACCTGGGGTGGAAGGAGGAGTAGGCATAGGCCTGCTCATGCCACTGGTTTCTCCCTGGTGCCAGGTCCTGCTTCAGGCCCCATTCCTGAGGCAGCCACCAGAGTGGGCCCAGCAGTGAGATCAAAGCCAGGACCAGGAGGCAGGGCTAGTATCCAGGTCACAGAGAAGTCCCTGGCCCCTGGAGAGTGCAGGAGAGTGTAGCACAGGGCTGGGACCCTGACCCTGGCTGCTGTTGGGTCCTTTCAGTGGCACAAGGGGTGAGTTCTGGGAGTACGGGGGAGCTGGACATGGGCCCCATGGCTCCTGCCAAGACACATGCCACAGATGGGTGACGCTGATGGAACAGCAAAAACACAGAAAGAAGCAAGTCCCATTGCCCTTCTCCTGCTGCTCAATCTTCCACAAAGTGCAGCAAGCTGAAATGGAGAGACCCACACAGAGAACACGTGTACAGAGACAACTCACAGAGACCACACAGAGACACCGCTCAACAGAGACCTCTCACACAGACATCTTCCACAGAGACCTCATACTGAGACCTCACACAGGGACCTCATGTGGTCTCACAGACCCTCAGACAGAAACCTAGCACAGATTTCACAGAGATTTCCCACAGAAACTGATAGCAAATCTCTCCCCAAAGATACCTCCCATGCGGAGACCTCACCCAGAGACAACACAGAGAGACCTCATGTGGTCTCACAGAGACCTCTCAGAGAAACTTCATCTAGAGACGGTTCCCAGAGACCTCTCACTGCCCACAGAGACTACACACTGAGACCTTACACAGATACCCCACAGAAACCTCACAGAGACCTCACGCCCATCCTTCGGGATCCTGAGTAGCCACCCACTGACAAGTCCTTCCTAGAGAATATGAAGCCACTTAGCAAACAGCAGCACAAGAGTGCTCATCAGCTGTGTGCCTGGAGACCCTCCAGAGACTCAGATGCTGTCAGCGTTACCCTAAATGGGCTGCTCTGCTTGGGGAAATGCTTGTAATTTTTGTTCTTTTGTAATGTAATTGCCTCTGAACAAAAGAATTACAGATTCCATGTGTAGATTTACAAAATTAATTGTTCCACCAGGTTTTCATTAGCTTGAGAATCACAAATTTTTAAATACAACTAAAAATACTGTCAAATCTCCCAATGAGAGAAAATATTTGTCCAGTTTTAGTCATCGTCCAGCTAAATGGTATCACTGTCATGTTTTCCATTTTACTGGGGACAAGACCTGAACTTGAGATGGTTGACTTGTGTGTACTTGGGAAACATGCTAAAGACCTGCAACAAGTGGGCTCGAGGAATGATGTAACGAAGTAAACGAGGAGAGAGACACCTGGATTCACACTCACCTCCCAGAGGGTTGTGTAACCAGCATGTTATTTTGCATGTAACAGCTTGCATCAGGTTTGTGGGGTTTGTTTTATTTTGTTTAACATGGTAACAATCATGTGAGGATTTTTCACAAATAAGTCAAATTCCTGGCAATATTTCCTATTATATCATCTGGCAAAATTGTACTTCTTAATATTATTTTATTCCTTAAAATATAGTAATGCCCTCAAATGATATTACATATGTTTCCAAGATATGACACAGTCCTAATGTTCAGCTGACAGCAGCTCCATCTGCTCTCCGTGATTTCACAGTCTCCCCCATTTCTTTCCCATGCCCACTTCAGCACGGCCGTCTCAGCACAGGTGTCGCTCTTGAACTTCAGGAGGAAGATCACCGCCCTTTTTATCTCCACCACAATTTTATACCAGTAACTTTACATACCTATCTACAGTGTCAAGAAATTGACTTTGTAGAATGTGGCCCCTGGTTTCCACCTATAGGTCGGTAACTTGGGCAAGTCATTTGTTGCCAAGATTTACCAATTTTATAAAATTGCACTTACTTCATAAAATTTTATTTTATAAAACGTTATTTTCTTATTTCATAAAATTGGTAAATCTAGGGATTTAGGCTTAGTATTTTTGAAAATATTTGTACTTATTTAAATATTTGCCAATTTTTTGTATATATCAGAAA